GTGTGTGTGTGCACACTTGGGGTCAGTGTGTGCACAAGAGTGTGCACAAGTGTGTGTGTATGCAGTCGGGGGTTAGTGTGCATGTCACTGTGTGCACGAGGGTGTGCACAAGCACATGTGTTTGTGCTCGGTCAGCACGTGCACCGAGGGTGTGTGTGTGTGTGCACACTTGGGGTCAGTGTGTGCACAAGAGTGTGCACAAGTGTGTGTGTATGCAGTCGGGGGTTAGTGTGCATGTCACTGTGTGCACGAGGGTGTGCACAAGCACATGTGTTTGTGCTCGGTCAGCACGTGCACCGAGGGTGTGTGTGTGTGTGCACACTTGGGGTCAGTGTGTGCACAAGAGCGTGCACAAGTGGGTGTATGTAGGTGGGGGTGTTAGCGTGCATGTCACTGTGTGCACGAGGGTGTGCACAAGCATGTGCGTGTGTGTGTGCTCAGTCAGCACGTGCACCAGGGTGTGCCCAGCTCTGTGAGTGTGTGTGCACACTTAGGGTCGGTCTGTGCACAAGAGCGTGCACAAGTGGGTGTATGTAGGTGGGGGTGTTAGCGTGCATGTCACGGTGTGCACAAGGGTGTGCACAAGCACGTGTGTGTGTGTGTGCTCGGTCAGCACGTGCAATGGGGTGTGCCCAGCTCTGTGCACGTGTGTGTGTGCGCACACTTGGGGTCAGTCTGTGCACAAGAGCGTGCACAAGTGTGCGTGTATGCAGGCAGGGGGGTTAGCGTGCATGTCACGGTGTGCACGAGGGTGTGCACAAGTGCACGTGTGTGTGTGTGCTCAGTCAGCACGTGCACCAGGGTGTGCCCAGCTCTGTGTGTGTGTGTGCACACTTGGGGTCAATCTGTGCACAAGAGTGTGCACAAGTGTGTGTGTGCGTGCAAGGGGGGGGGAGGGGAGGGTTCCACATGTGCACCGGGATGTGCACAAGTGCGTGTGCACACCCGGGGGGGGGGGGGGGGGGGGGGGTGGGATGGTGACCAAAACAGCTGTTTAAATGCAGCCAGTAAATTCCACCAAAAGCAGAGACACCCAAGACTAAAGAATGACTTTGGTTGATGCACTGTTTAAAAAGAAACTTGCAGTTGTAAATCATTTATAGGCCGTCT